TCTAGTGACTAGGGAATCTGGGTCCTGGGCCATTCTGCTTTGGTGAACAGCTTTGCTCATTTCAGTGTTGGTGACAGTGGGCTCTGCCACAGAGCCGGAGGCAAAGACGGCTCTCCTGCCCCTGGCTGAGCAGTGGGAGCAACTGGAGAGGCAGTGACTATTTTCTGTCTGGCGCCAGAAGCTGTTTGCAGCAATTCAAGCAGCAGCGGGTGGGGGCATTTCACTGCCCGCCACTAGTGACCGTATAGGCGCTGAGGCTGCAGGCCGAGGCCAGCAGTGTGGCAGGCGGCCCTGCCTCAGGGCTGCAGGGAGGAGCATGGGGCCCCACGGGGCCAGCCCCAGCACTAGGCTCCTCCAGCTGCAGGCAGTAGAGAGGCCCATGGAAGGTGCTGGGTGCTGGGTCAGGTGCCGGCTGTGAGCTGATTGGCAAATGGTCCAATAGTCAGTGGGTTGAGAACGGTCCAATCAGCCTGGTAGGTGGGCGCCCTGACAGGAGACGAGGCGGGGCAGGCGCCAGCTTGGGACACCCGCACTGGGCCTGATGCTCTTCCTGGCCTCCCGGGAAAGAACACTGCTACGTTCTTGACCTCCAAAGGGGAAGGAAAGACAGCAGCTGACTCCGAGGAAAGAAAAGAAGCTAAAAAGGTTTGTAGAGACACCAAAGAGCTTCTCAGAGGCCGGGGTGGGAGTCTGGAGGCCACTGCCCTCAGGCCTGCAGCCGGCCCGCGCCCAGTATCTCAGTGAGCTGCCTGGTGTTGGTGAGCCCACGACTCACAAACAGCTGTAGCGCTGGTGACGGGTGGTGACCGACACTCCGTCCGGGCCACCTCTGGGAGCTGGTAACTCCTCCTGCCCGTCCGGGACCACCTCTGGGTGCGGCTGCTCCATTGCTGTCTGGTCCAGCGTCGGGTGCTGTCGAGGGAGGCGCTGCTGGAGGCATCCCAGGGGCCCGTCTTGGGACTGGACAGAGGACTCCTTTCTCCAGGAATCCCTTTCGGTAAGGAGGACCCCTTCTGTGAGGGCTGCGTCTGGGGCCCTCGCGTGTCAACGTGGTCACTGCTGGATGACCTTGACCTGGTTTCCACATCCTCCATGTTGACAGGGGAGGCCACACTGTCTGGCATGAAGGGAGAGTTGGGAGGGTGTTTCTGCCAGACCAGGACCCCGATTTCATGGTCTGGCTCCACGCTAGGCTGGTGGCTTCAGCCGACACCAGGAAACGGGCTGAGTGGTTCCCTGTTGCGTCAGCCGCACAGCGCTGAAGGAGAAACAGGTATCGTGGCTTGGGCAGCACAATGCAGGGGATGCTGAAGAAGCAAGAACCTGGTCTTTTTAGTGACAGAATAATCCTACAGCTTCAGTTAAGTGGGGCGGGAGGACAAGCAGGAAGGGTGGGTCAAAATGGAAAATGTGCTTATGTCATCTAGGGCTTCAGGGGGAGGTGAGTCTGCTGACCAGGTATTTTTTTATCAGTCTGAGAATCAGGTGTTGTAATCAAAACCATCCCCCAGGGCCTTCCTGGTATCCCAAGGGCTTAAGTGTCAGCACTATGAAGGAATCCGTAGCCACTGCAGCACAAGTTCAATCCCCAGCCAGGGAGCTACCCAATGGCAGAGCGGACCTCTGCTGTCTCACTGCTGTTCCCCTCAGCAGTGTGTTTCAGTAGATCTGCCTATTCTGTTCCCGACTCTCTCTCTGGTCTCTACTTGCACCTCTGGCCTGCACCCCAGCTCTTGTATACATAAATAAAATAAGTCTTTAAAAATAACAAAACTAGGGCCTCCCTGGTGGCGCAGCGGCTGAGCGCTGGGTTGCAAAGCTGCCCGCGGCCTTTCCAATGCCAGTTCGATTCCCAGCTGCTCCCCGGCCACCGGAGGAGGGTCCCACATGGCACGCAGACCCTCCTGCTGCCCACTGCTCCCCTCAGCAGTGTACTTCGGTCCTTCTGCCTGCTCTGCTCCCCACTCTGGCTCTGGTGAATTCTTTCACCCTCCTGCGCTTCTGACTGTACCCAGTGCTTGTATAAATAAACAAAAAAATAAATAAATCTTTAAAAAAAAATAACAAAACTATCCCTCAGACTCTCGCCCATGGTTGCAATTGTATCAACAAGGTGTTGCACTGATCAGTCTCTGGGATGCAAAGTCATACCTCAGTCAACAGTCCTGGCATCGCTGTCATACCTCTGATGTGCACCCATTGTCCCAGGCCATCAAGGGGGCTGCTCTTGTTTAATTGGAAAGGAGCCTCATAGGGTCTGGTATTTTACATTCTGCTCTTCATATAACTGATGAACCAGGCTGTTCTGGCCTTGTATTGGAGGATGGACCACATGCAACCAGAATGGCAGCCAAGCAGGCCATTCAAATAGAAGACCCACTAAACCTCCCACCCGGCAGTGCCAAGCAACCCCCCTAAGGGCTCATTGCCCACTGAGTAGATGACACCCTATGTTTGGTGCTTTCATCACATGCAGTGAACCACGGAAGTTGGGGCAATGGCTATGTAGCCCAAATTCCATCCTTCCTAGCATTGGGTATCTCCATGGGTTCCCCCTCTGGCAGGGGGGCCAGTGTAATCACCCTCATTCCCCTGGTGATTATCCCGGCTACTGGTTGCTCAGGAAACCCAGGACATGCTGATACCACATTACCCAAGTCAGTGTGCTTTAAGGGTGACCAGGCACCATGGGGACCCGCCATCCCACCTGAGGACAACAGAGTGCGCTCTATGTGCACTGACCTGCTGTGGCTCCTGGGGGCTCACAACCAGGGCTCCCCACTGACTAGGACACCAGCTTCCAGATGCCAGGAGAGGACAGGAGCCAAGGACAACAGGGACCAGCTCAGACTCTTGCAGGTGAAACCCTTGTCCCCACCAGGACTTATCCGTGACCCCACCCCTCTCTGTCCACACCTCAGATAAAAGAGCCAAGTCCCAGTGCAAAGGGCTGACCAGCCAGGCCTCCATGGGCCCAGACCTGGCGAGGGCTCCTTCCTGTTCCAGCCACACGGTGGCGCTGGCGGGCAGGGGATGACTGTGGGGATCTTCCCCTCCCTGTTTCAGGGGCCACCCCAGGAATAGTGGGGAGTGTTAGGAAGATGTCCACTCTGGCAGGTAACACGTGATTTCCAGATGCTGGGGGACAGGGTGCTCATCTGAGGGAACAGGCCTGATTCTTAGTTGTACCATCGAGCCAGCAGAGACTGGGTCTGTGAGCACCAAGCCCATATTTGTGGGGATGTGGGAGGGCATCACCCCCCGGCATGGATTCACCTCTTATCCCCCAGGGATTTTTCCCCACGCAGAGGCTCCACTGGGAGCCCTGAACTAGGCCAGCGGCTACTGCTCTAGGGGTCATCTCGGGTCTCTGCCCTCCCAGAATCTGGAATAAAATCCCTGGGAAGAGGTGGTCTCCCCAAGGGGCGTCTCTACCTGTCCCGTGACCTCCAGAGTCACATACACCCCCAACTCAGAGGCTGGCCCAGCTGGGAGTGCCCAGAGCTGCCATCGCTTCACTCCTAGATTTGCCTTCTCACAGGAGCTGGTCTGACCCCCGACCCATGGGAGGCCCTTCCTCAGGGCGGTTTGTACAGGGAGATGCTGTACTAGGTGGACAATGAGTGCCCAAGTCCCAGATCCCTACAAAAGCTCTCACTCTTTCAGATTCTTAGGTACTCCTCACCCCTGCCATCTCCTGCACCCCTGTTCTCCCTGACCCTCGCCCGCCCCCTTCACAGTGAAGCTGGGGCTGCCCTGGCCTAGAGTGAGGGGCTTCTTTGAAAGGAAAGGCTGAGCCAAGTCTGTGTCTCGTGTGTTACAGGGATAGGCCCGGGGGCCCTGTGGACGCAGGAACAGGGATTAGGGGTTCTGGCAATTGTGTTCTTGATCTTATTGGAATTGGGTCTAAAATAGGTTCTGAGCGGGGCTCTTACTGGCACAATACACCGTGACCGTTAGAATGTGGGTGTTTCAGCGCCTTAGGGGCCTGGAGATCTTCCTCTGTGATCCCCCTGCTGGAGGGGCAGACAGATCAGTCCTTTGAATGTGAATTCATCCAATTTACTTCCTATGGAATGTGCTTTTTGGGTCAGACCTGAGAACTCTTCATCTAGTGCTGGTCCTAACGATGTTCCCTTTGGGTTACTCTAAGAGTTTAGGGTTCTGCATCTCCCATGTAAACCCATGATCCACTTGCAGTTTCCCTTTGTGTGAGAGGCGAGGGGGTCAGTCCCAGTCCCCAGGGTGGGGCTTGTGTGGAGCTGCAGGAGCTGACAGGGCCCTCACTGGGGAGAAGCAGCTGTACCTGGAATAACAGAATGAAGTGGGGACAGCTGGAATATACATGGGGTCATGGGGGACTCTCTCACTGGTGTGGACTGCAGACATGAAGTTCTATCTATTGACTAAATCACAGTATCTTCATGTTTCCCTGCACAGATGACTGTTCGTCAAGAATCTACTCATCTAGGGTAGATTGATGCTTTCAGAAACAACCACTGGAGTTTTTCAATAGAAAAGGAGTAAAATCAATACCCCGCCAAGGTAAATGGATGTGAAGGTCCAACAGGGTTGCACTTACAAGGGAAATTAAACATTTGGTTTTATTTATTTTAAATATAGGCATGTTTTATTTATTTATTTGTTTGTTTGTTTGTTTATACATGCACTGGGTACAGTCAGAAGCGCGGGAGGGTGAGAGAATTCACCAGAGCCAGAGCGGGGAGCAGAGCAGGCAGAAGGACTGAAGTACACTGCTGAGGGGAGCAGCAGGCGGCAGGAGAGGTCTGCAGGCCTGATGGGACCCTCCTCCAGTGGCCGGGGAGCAGCTGGGGATCGAACTGGCGCCGCAGAGGCCACGGGCAGCTTCGGAACCCAGCGCTCAACCGCTGCGCCACCGGGGAGGCCCGAAATTAAACATTTGGTTTTAGAGAGTAGTTTTATTAGTGAAGTTATATCTGCGCTATCAGTCAGACATAAACTCTAAGAATGACCTTGTATTTCTACAGCCTCTAAGAGGAAGGCAATCTGCCTAAGAACAGGTTGCTGCCAGAGGATTTGTGAGGAATCCTGAAGGTGAATGGATGGTCGGCACGGAAATCTTCATTGGACGGCATTACTGTGACAGCTGTGGCAGCTGCTGCCTCTATGCCCACCTCACTCACCTCCACAAAGGACTTATGGATAACTCTTGATACGAAAATACCTCTGGTTTCTGTCATGCCAGACAGATCAGCCTTGCTCCTGCTAAAGAGATCTCCCACACCCGTGCGAGCCAGGTGGGACCTGAGATCGCAGGTCTCCTCCAGCTTGAATTTGGGCAAAAGCAAGTGGACATCCACATGAATATGCATATTCTCAGGCTTGGTCCGCTCACACAGTTTTTCCAGAGTCAACTTCTGGATCTGGAATTAGAATGTGCAAAGAGAAAACAATTTTATATAGGTAAGTACTAAGGTTATTTGAATGAACAGACCCGAATGTCAGTTGCTCCTTTGTTTCCTTCCTCTCTTGGGCCAGTTCTTTCCAGCAATTGGGACGATGAGAGAGTGTATGTTCCAAGGCATCCTGGGCGCCAGTACAGGGCAGTTGCACATCAGCTAAAACAAACAACCACCATCCATCTCTCCATCTACCCACTTGTCCATGCATCCACCCACAACCATCCATACACCACCCACCCAGAGTACAGCCTCACCCTACCCATCTATCTACCCACTCTTCCAGGACGCAGTAATACTCCACCCTATATACTGAATCACTGTGATGGGGCCTGCGGGTTATTATTACTGTGAAGACTATATTACATGTTAACTAAATGGTTGAGTGGTGTAAGGGAAAATTTTCTTCTATCTATTCTATTGTATTTATTCCAAACCCACTAATCACTGTGGTATTCAGTGAACCACACAGAGGTGAAATAATCTCTAATAGATTTAGCTCCTAGGGAAAAATAGTAAATATCCTACTTCCTCATCTGAAATGGGGGTAATAACAGCGACCTTTATTCTAACATTGTCATTAGAATTAAATGGGTTGACACAGTAAGGACTATGTAAGTGTCCACTGTTATCACTGCTGTTTTATTACATGATGGGACTAGAACAGAACCATCATTACCCTTCTTCTATGCTCTTGGTCATCCCTTTCATGAGACTCCTTAAAATCAGAGAACAGATGAAGTCGGAAATCAACTGAAAGAAGCACATGCTGATTTTTGACATCCTCTATATATGTAAATAGGTACTACATTAGATGCCTTCCAGAGAGCAAACTTGGAGAGTAGGAATTGGCGATATAACACAAAAGGATAGAGACACTGAGAAAAAAACATAATCTCGAGGTTTTTCCTAGTTCCAGGCCTGGCAAGAGATTCCATAGCCTTCAAGTTCTTATAATAGAACTTCATACAAAGTTCACAGTAGGAAATGGGCTTAACCCTCAAGCTCACTTGTCTCAGGAGACTTCTTCTATGATAGAGTTACTGGGAATTGAATTCACAATCTGTGTGCCTTGTAAGGAGATCGGAGAGTGTCATAAAAGGAACTAAGAGCATAAGATGAAGGCTTATGCAATATGATAGGGGTTTCAATTTTGAACAAATTCATTTTAATGAAGCAAGCCTCAGTCTCTAAAGTTTAATTACAAGAGTTTGCATGAGCTGCCAGTTACAACATTACGTCTGGTGTAGGTCTCCACATGGTCCCCACAAGTATTCACTGGGAGTTTCTGAAATTTGAAATGAAGGACTCCCAGGTAGTAAATGTGATGGACTGGATTACAAAAGAATGGGGAAGTGAAGTGATTCAATAAGCACATAACAAGCACTGACCACTCAGCACACACGGGAAGACACATACAGGAAAGGAGGGAGAAGGACTAAATGCGGGAGCATCACCTTCTCCAGCCCTGCGGACTGGTCCTCTATGTCATCGGGCAGCTGGATGACCATGCTGAGCTCCCCGCCCTTGTACGGCAGTTCCAGCACGCGGCACTTGAGCTGTGGGGTGTAGTTGAATGGCAGTTTCTTCTTCTGGTACATCATTTTCACCTCTTTTGTTTCTCGCTGAAAGGATGGAAGTAAAAACACTGTTATCTGCATTCATGTAGAGCAAAGAGGACATTTGCTCTTGTAGAGCAAAGAGACCGTGCGCGGGCTCACCGGATTCAACGTGAATGGGGCGTCCTTGGCTTCCTCTTTTCTAAATTCATCCTGCCAGGAGCCTTTGAAGCAATTGGCATTCACCAGCTCAAGCAGAGTCATGCGATCCTTCACACCTGCAGCCAACAGTTCTGGAATCTTCCCTAAAATGATAAAGTGAGTTGCTTTTTTGTTAATCCACTTCTCAGCACTCCAAATCTAAACGGACATTAGATCAGCACAGAAATGTATTTCAGTGCAGCTTTTCCATTTCATTACACTTAAGCATGGTGTCGAGTGAAATCCCTGCAGTGTGTCTAACTACACCAACTCACCAGGCTAATGAATGACACGCCCACCCCGCTAGAGCCTGTACTTCAATACAAGTCTAATGTGCAGAAGAGCAGAAAATAGGAAAATGTCCCTTTTCTGGAGTGTGATCACAAGGAGCCTTGTTTGTAAATGGCCATTCTTTTCAGGATAACACTATATATAGTCTTGCATGACAGGGTTTTTGAGTCACTAGTAAGTCAGTCCTTCTGCCAATCTGCTGGTGGCATCAACCCTCAAAATAGGCAAAGGCAGGATGGTTCCTCCACTGAATTGCAGGCTCCACTAATCAAATGCTCACACACTCCCAGTGTCCATAGATGCCTCATCTCATACCAGACCCAGGGAGAGACAGATACCCAGCTGGACAGCACATGCCACCCATCACACCCCGAGCCAGAATGCAGGAAAAGGTTCATGACCACTGGTCATGAGTGGATAAGCTCTGAGTCAAAATCTGAGGGGTTTGTTTCATGCTAGTGGTGTATTAAATAATTTGGACTGGCTGGATTTCCTCTCCCACTACCCCAATTTTTGTTCCTTTTATTCTATAGTCATTTTAGCTTTAAATTTAAAATGTACTTTGAGGAACACGGGGGAAATATTTAGCTGCTTTGGTTAAATCATGTCTGCTGTTCCACTTGATGGATCTAATTTTTTTTATTTATTTATTTTGTTCATGTTGCATGAGCTGGGGTGCAGGCCAGAGGTTCAGCACCCCAGGTTCATCAGGTTTCTGGATGAAAGGATTCACCAGAGACAAAGTGGGGAGCAGAACAGGCAGAATGACTGAACTACACTGCCGAGGGGAGCAGTGGGGAGACAGGAGAGGTCTGCTGTGCCATGTGGGTAATTCGCTGGCCAAGGATCAAAATAGTGCTGCAGTGATGGGGATAGCTTCATAGTTCTGAGGCTGAACTCCTTGTGCCACCAGGGATGCCTGGAATTTCTATGTCTGATAGCTGTACCCCACTGGAAATGGGGGATACACGCCAGGGGGAAGGAGTGCAGGGGAGGTAGGGAGAGGCTGTAGAGAGGGGATCCCATGCAGGTGGGCGGGTGGAGACACAGAGGCAGAACCCTTTGTGAGGACCACTCTCTGTCCACCCTCTTACCTTCCGTTTGCTCTTGGACCCACTGGTTAATCACACTCCTGGCACCTTCAGAGTCGCCCTGGAAATCCACACTGGCCAGCTCAGTGCCATACAGTTCCTGAGTTGAAGCTAAGAACTCCTAGTTAAAAAAAGAAGACAATAAATGTTATGAGTGACTCAGTATCTACAGAAGTCATTTTTTAAGATCTTTAAACAATAGAAATTGGGGGCAAGACAAAGTGGGGAGCAGAACAGGAAGACTGACTGAAATACACTGCAGAGGGGACCAGCGGGGAGACAGGAGAGGTCTGCTGGGCTGTGTGGGTCGCCTCCCTGGCCGGGATCAGTTTTGTGCTGCAGAGACCGTGGACAGCTTCTCAGCGCTGTGCTTAACCCCTTGGGCCACCAGGGAGGCCCTGTTTAGAAAAATTTGAACTGCCTTGATTTTGCTGGGAAAGCACAGTGTCTAGTGAGCAGTAGGACTGAAGCAGAAAGTACTTACAGGGAGGAAAATACCGGTTTTCTCTCCGAATAACCTATTAGACACTTTCAGCACATAGGGGGCGTCAGGCTTGGTGACAGCGGCGACCAGACTCTGAAATCTGGAATGAACCTTCTCAGCTGTGTCAGAATGAAGAGACTAAAATGAAGAAACATGTTCTATAAACATTTGCTTTGAAATTATAAAGTGATTCCCAGGTGTTGGCTTCCATGAGGGTAATGTGTCGTCATTACTAAGCACTGAGGACCCCAGTCTATTACCTTGTGAGTTTTCTTTGGAGAACACACGATGGAGAATCCAAACCTTACAGCTTTGTGAGACCTAATCATCCCACCTTAGAGCCAGCTTTTATGTCAGTTTTTTGGGTTATCATTCTTGTTCTGCAAATATGAGTGGTTAGTAAACTAAATATTTCTACAAGTCTTTTCCCCAAGAAAATCATAAATGGTGTGTAAACATGAATCCTCAAATCTAATTGTATATCATCATAAAATTTTATCCAGTACTATTTGACTGAAATTTCTGAGAAATAATCCTGAAAACTAAGAATCATCGCCTCTGCAGGAACACAGATATGGCAGATTGAGGAATTTTTTTTCTAATTACACTGTGAGCAAAAGTAACTCACTTATTTAAAATACTTGTTTAAACATAACATTTAACAAAAGTTTAATGCCCCACAGATCAGTTGCAAATCAAGAATGCTTATGGCTTTTGAGGCCTGAGCTGTTTCTGACTTTGAAGAAACCAAAGAGCAAACCCACACAGTGCACAAGGCCAGGTTATCACAGACACGGATGTCTGCCTCACGCTGTGATCCACCTGTTTTAATAGAAACGAAGCAGAAGGTTCTTAAGACTATTCTTGCTGAGGTCACAGAGTCCAGAAAGGCACAGAATAGAGCTGAGGTGACCTTTTAAGAAGCAAATTCAAATTAGTACCAGTTAGCACTACTGGATTCTTGATAACTTTAAAAAGCTTTTCTATCTGTGGTTCTGCAGATGCGGGTCTCATTCACTTAGAGATGTTTCCGTGAAGTGGGGTCATAGAGGCTTTGCAGCTGGAAAGGCCCATAAACATGACCCCAGGGCTGGCTGGCTGGGCTCAGGTGAGTGTCAGGTGTGACTGGGGTGGCAGAAAGCCCTTCACTGAGGCCCCTCCTTCCCTCGCTGTCAGGGAGAGCCAGGGTCCCTCTCTTGGAAAGGAGGCACACCTGACACAGGTGCCCCCCACTTCTATAAGGGGAGCAGAAGGTGGGCATCACACCCTTTTCTGGCTGACAGAGTGACCTGCAGTAAGTGACCCAGGGCTTTCCCCTGACTGCAGTCACATGCCTTTGGCTACCTGTTCTCCCCAGGCCCTCCTGCCACAGGGTCCGGGACTTCAGAACCTACAGCCACACCCAGCACTGGGCACAGGCAGGGCCTCAGGATACAGGTCCCCTGTTCCCTTGTCCCCCTAAGCAGGCCAGTCCGACAACTTCCACTGGAATGTATTTCCGGGGTGTCCATCTGCTCAGAAGTAATGTCCGTGACAGGTGTTCTCTATTCGGCAGGCCAGCAGGCTTCAAGCAAAGCTGAATAGCGAAATGCTGATTACCAGAGGACAACTGAGACCACAGAGCCAGGTCTGGCAGCCAAAACAGCAGAGGCCTGCCCTACCCCAGGAGTCCTAGCCAGCTGTTCCCCCATGCTCAGCCAATCACACCACAGTGCCTGGCACCTAATAGGTGCTCATTAAACAGGAGACTCAAAGGGAAAGCCTGCAGCAAATGGAATATGCCTGGGGCTTTTCCTGAAAGTGTCCCCCACAGTGGGGATCTGAGCCCAGAAACAGATAATTACATGCGCAGGGAGAGCCCCAAGGCTGGCTCTCCCCATCCTCGGCACAGACACTGACAGGGGAGGAAGGAGTCTCTCTCTCTCTCTCATTTTTTCTGTTTCTGCTGACCTTGGACAGCTGGGCCGCAGTGTTGCCTCTGGTCCCCAGGACGACCATGGCCAGCGCCGAGGAGATGCTCAGGGGGGAGAAGAGGGTCCCACGGGGACTGCCTTCCTTCAAGGTGCGGAACAGGGCCAGGAGCAAGGCAGAGTTGGCTTGCATGGTGAGGCTGCAACACAGACCCGAGCCTGCATCTTCCTGTGCAAAGGCCTTTAGAAACTGCATTTCTACAGCCACATCCTCAGCCACAAAAACCCATCCTGAGCCCCGACCCCGCCCCGGACCTGTCACTTCCTCTTTTCTTTTTTCCAGGAGGGTCAGAACACTTTCCCAAGTGCACAAATGTGGCACCATCGATGGCCTGAGAAGCGATGGTCCCAGTTTTTTATGGGTCTGACCCTGCTGCTGGAGACCAGCTGCAGCTAGAAGTCACGTCTGGGGTCTCAGAGAGGAGAGGACGGCATAGGTGAAATTTTTCGGAGGGCTGAGGGGAAGTGGAGCGAGGTAGGAGTGAGGTAGACACAGACACCTTCTTTCGTGCAAGTATCTCCTGCTGAGGGTCTCAGCGGGTCTTTATTTATACCTTAAGGTGAGCAGAACAGAGACAATCATTACATATTTTCTCATGAACATACAAAGACCCTCTTGATCTCATACTACAGAAGGACACTTCTTTAATCTGATTAAGAAAATCAACAGGGACAATTACGCTCCTTGGTAGGACTCTTTTTCTAACATAATCAATTGTCTAAGCCGGTACCATGTTCAGTAACAATCAATCATCCTGTCAAGCCTTCCTGATTTCGGAGTGGACATGAACGTCCATTGTTATGCTATTTACTAAAATCAGCCCATTCCCTAGCACTCAGTTAATCTAGCCTGTTTATCAATTACTTCAAAGTGATCTAAAGTAACTCATCAATACTGTTCAGTTCTACAGAAATCTAACTTTTAACTAGAAATACCTAACCTCCACACAGCCTGCGAACTGTTGGCCTTTCACATACACCAGGAGATGTACTGTTGCCACAAACACGTACCCCCCAGGTTAGGCTATGGTTTCCAAGCACAGCTGGTTCAGGGCAGCTTGTTCTCCATAGTTCTCAGGGCCAGGACATCTATCCTAACTGTATCTTTAACAATTTTTACTTCTTTTGTGATAGTTCATGCTATGAGCCAATTGTCACCTGGGTCTGAATTCGGTTTTTACAGGCCAATTTATAACTAACTTACCTTTGCACTAACCAAGAACGAAGAGGAGACAGGCATTGCCATGGAGACTCCCTAGTTCAGATCTTCTTGGGAAGTGCAAGAACTCCCCTCTTCTGGGAAGTACAACTTCCCTCTTCTGGGGAGCACAGGAACTCCCCTTTACTCAGGAGTCTCCCCCAATGCACGGACCTTGTCAAGAGACAGCATGGGTAGCGCAACCTGCCGCACCCTGCAGCAGCTGAATCAGGAGGGACGTGTCTCTAGTATAAGGAAGTTTCTGCTCCATAACCACAGCCACCTCCTATGCATTAAAGCAAATTTCAGCAAAGCAGGTACAGTCAAGTGCACCTTTGAGGCACCGGCCCTAGTGTTGGGAGAGGGTAAGCTCCCAAGGCCAGCAGCTGCTGTAGGAGTTTGAGAACCCATCTGGCAGGGCAGCTGCAAGGGCTAATGTCACTAGATCTTCTCTGTCCCTCCTGCGGAAGGCAGAAGACCACTTAGGATGGTTAAGCACCCGGTCACCCCAGTGTCCCTGCTCTGAACCCCAGTTTCCCCAATTTTTGGTCAGGATGATGCAAGGTATGCTGGCTGCTTGGCATCCAAGTAATGCAATGAATCCTTTCTGTGACTGATGCATAAGCACTAGATCTCACCGGCCTCCTTCCTCTTTCTCTACCACAGAGAGAAGTGGCTTCAGGCCCTGGCTACCTGGACATTTACAAACAGCTGTGGAGGGAGTTCAGAGAGAAAGGAAAAGCAATCTGATCTCAGGCCCTCCAGCAGCCAGGTCCTGACCATCCTCCCCAGCCAACCATCCTGGCACAGCAACCTGGCCTGGAAGCTGTTCCAAGGACCCGAGGACCCCCGGAGTTATATGGTTCAGAGGGTCCTGACTCTACCCCACCGGGAATGCTAGGCGGGGGCTGCTGCTGATCTCAGGCCCTGAGCCCCCGATCCCCCTGCTGGCCTTTCTACTCACCCCACTCCCTGCAGCGCACCTGCTTCTTGTCCTACCAAGTTCTTGGCTGGATGGATCCTGCAGATGTGAGGTCTGTGCTGAAGGTCCAGTGGGTGCCACCCTTATAAGTGCAGAAGGGGAGTGTCCTGTACACTGGGCACCCCTTCCCTGGTCGATTTCCATGTGTCTGCAATGCCTGGGTTAGTCATGACTATGCAGCTCAAGACCAGCTCCACACAGCGCCCTCCACAGGGGACCAGCACTTTCTGAGTTCTAGACAGCTGGGATCTCTGACAAGGACCTATGGACAGTTTCTTAAAAGGGGTAAATGAATGAGTTGACATTTGTCACCTCTTAAAAGACAAGCTAGCCAGACCTATATAGAGAATCCACAATCTATATATACTCCAAACTCTCTCCGTGAAGGAAATTTATCTTTCTTTCAAATTGGAAAGAAGGGCCCACCAGAACAAGAAACAGAATCAGCTCCGAACAGCACCCTTGATGGCACTTGGTGAAGATGTCCTTGATGCCTTTCAGAAACCAAAGGGAGTTCAGACCCCAACCTCCCCTCACAAGGCTGGGAGCACTCACCAAACACCAAGATGATTCACAAGGTGTGAATGAAGTATTTCTTGACCATTGTACCAAACTCTAGGCTTACCCAATTTTTAACCACATATGTGAAATGTCTATGGTTGAATATTAATGTAACTACTGGGGAGAGGATGTTGGCTTGGGTCTTCCCTTGAACTGCGGGAGTTTGTATTTCACCAAATTGTGTAGGACTTGAGGTGTGAAGTAATTCTGCATCCATCGAAACTTGCTCCCTGATCTCATGCAAGTCTCACTTTGAAAAGGCAAATGAGAAGACCCTTTATAAGCAAAAGGGCAAAGAAAACCACAGTAATGAGGTGTACAAATGGGCTCCACAGTTAAAAAAAAAAGTTTATAACTGAGATTGTAGCTGCCTGTGAGTTTGTGGGAAGAAAGAACCAACATGTGTGGGAAGCCTGTCATGGTTACAGTGAAGTCCCTGAAGGAAATCTGTTCCTTGTCCAGCATGTCTCACAGCACTAGAGATCCATGTTCGGGCTTCCCCAGGAGGCTAAAATGAGAAAGTCAGGTGAGGAGCTGCCTGCAAATTTGAAAGTTGAGCTGCTTGAACCAAAGACACAGTGCTCTGCATTTTTTTAAAGATTTATTTATGCATACAAGAACTGGTGTACAGGCAGAGGTGCGGGTGGTGAGAAGATTCACCAGAGACAGATTGGGGAGCAGAACAGGCAGAACTGAGTGAAATACACTGCTGAGGGGAGCAGCAGGCAAGACGAGAGGTCTGCTGGGCCATGTGGGTTGCTCCCTGTCCAGGGGTTCGAACTCGTGCTGCAGTGGCTGTTGATGGCTTCATAGGTTGTGTCTTTCCCCTTGCGCCCTGTTCTGCATTTTTATTTCCCTTTAACATTTATATTTGTGCTCCAATGACTTAGAAATCTGAGTCCAAGGCCATTCTACTTTGGAGGACAGCTTTGCTCATTTCACTGTTAGTGACAGTGGGGCCCCGCTGCAGAGCTGGGAGGCAAAGACGGCTCTCCTGCCCCTGGCTGGCGGTGGGAGCTACTGGAAAGGCAGTGACCATTTTCTGTCCAGCCCCAGAAGCTGTTAGTGGCAATACAAGCAGCAGCAGGTGGGGGCATTTCACTTCCCCCCACCAGTGACCACACTGGCGCTGATGCTGCAGGCCGAGGCCAGCAGTGATGGCGGATGGCTGTGGTTCCCAAGCACACAGCCCCTGGTTCAGTGCTGCAGGGAGGAGCATGGGACCCCACGGGGCCAGCCCCAGCATGGTGGCTCCTCCAGCGACAGGCAATGGAAGTGCCCAAGCCCCAAATCCTACACAGTCTCTCACCCATAGGTTCTTAAGTCTCTCCTCACCCCTGCCATCTCCAGCCCCTCCTCTCCCGGGCCCTCTCCTGCCCCCTTCACAGTGAAGCTGGGGCTGCCCTGGCCTAGAGTGAGGGGCTTCTTCGCAAGGAAAGGCTGGAGCCAAGTCTGCGTCTTGTGTGTTACAGGGATAAACCGGGGATCCCTGTGGACACAGCAACAGGGTTAGGGGTTCCAGCAATGTGTTTTTGATCTTCTTGGATTTAGGTCTAAAATAGGTTCTGAGTGGGGCTCTTACTGGCACAATACACCGTGACAGTTAGAATGTGGACGTTTCAGCGCCTTAGGGGCCTGGAGATCTTCCTCTGTGATGCCGCTGCTGGTGGAGCAGACAGATCAGTCCTTTGCATGTGAATTCATCCAATTTGCTTCCTATGGAATGTGCTTTTTGGGTCAGACCTGAGAACTCTTCACCAAGTGCTGGTCCTGACTATGTTCCCTTGGGTTACTCTAAGAGTTTAGGGTTCTACATCTCCCATGTAAACCCACGATCCACTTTCAGTTCCCCTTTGTGTGAGAGGCGAGGGGGTCAGTGTGAAGTAATTGAGGTGTGAAGTAATTCCCAGTCCTGGGCTGGGGCTGGAGGAGCTGGCAGGGCCCTCACTGGGGAGAGGAAGCTGTGCCTGGAATAACTGAATGGAGTGGGGAGACCTGGAATATAAATCTGGTCATTGGGGCCAATCCTCAGCTGTCTCGTCTCCTTGGGGCTCTGGCCCCCTCAACCTTCCCTCTGTGTCTCTTCTCACTCTCTCGTTGGTGTGTGTTGTGGACATGAAGTTCAGTTGTATTCTCTGCCACTGTCCTGAACACCCCCTTACCCAATGATCCCCTGCACCCCCTTGTTTATTAATGTCGCCCAGTGCCTCTTTTACTTTGTCTTATTGTCCACTAGCTAAATCCAGTATTTTTTATTTCATTGCTTTTCTGCTCACATTTCCCTGGACTCGCTCCATTGCTCCATGACTGCCTGTCAAGGCTCCTTGCAGTGAACATATTTATATTGCACAGTGTGGTCTCACCCGGCCCCCTATGGACAGGCATTTGGCTGTTGCAGGGACCACGGGCTGCTGTTGTCATGGGCTGGAGTAAACACTGCTCAGCATATGGCTATTTGGTCTGATATTGGATCACTCTGATGGACCCTGACACATCACTGCTTGACTGCTTGACACATCACTCATGGACAGGTACACACAGGTGGAGGTATGCTGTGTCCTCCAAGGGAGTACACTACACAAGGGGGCATCTGCGTTCGTCTCACCGAGTCCAGGTCCATGCCTTTGGGCAGCACAATGCACAAGCTCAGCTCCCAGTCGGCGTAGAGCAGCTCCAGCACCTGGGCACGCACCTCCGGGACATAGGTGAGGTTAAAGCTGGACTCCTGAAACATCATCTGCACGGGCCTTTGCTCCTTCTGATGGGAAAAACAGATGAGCGTGGAATGCAAGCTAGGCTGCTGAAAGAGGCTCTCATTCCTAAGTGAGCTCCAGTGGGCTCCAGTGGAGAATGTACCAGGCTCTAGCCCACACCTCCGATTACTCCCCAGCTGCTCCCCAACATCAGTACCAGGCATCGGCAAAATGAATGGCTTTTTCCAGAAGAAAAAGCCAGAGTTTCCTCATTTAAAATGCCCTGGTTCAGCGGGCCTGCTTGGTGGCGCAAGGGGTTGAGAACAACACTATGAAGCTATCCGCAGCCTCTGCAGCACGAGTTCTTACATAACCTGCTACACTGGCCACAACTGTCGATGCACACTGATATATTCTCTTATACTAGGGCATCCTGCGGGCAGGAGTTTAAATGAACATGTGGCTAGAACACAGGAGAATGAATTTGTTACAAATGGGAGAGGGGAGAATCCCCTAATGAAATCCCTCACACCAGCCCCCACCCAGACTTAATATTCCTAGAGCAGATTCAGCCTCTTCCAAAAGTGGGGTCTCAGGCATCTAGAGTTTCCTAATCAGCACCCCTGAGGTCACCTGCATGGGACAATCCCCCTGCCTTCCCCTGCCCCCCAGGTCAGGAGGTAACTTTACCTGAAATCATCTTTCCTTTTTGCTAATGACCTTGTCCCACTCTCCTTTTGCCTATAAATACCCTCCATTTTGTGTAAGCTCTTACGGTATCTGCACAGGATGCTGCCTGATTCATGAATCATTGAGTTAAAACAATTAGATCTCTGGAATTGTGTTTTGTTCCTTAGCAAGTGGAAGGGCTGGAGTTACAGGAAAACAAAACCAGAGATGCAGTTTACGCAGAGATCCTGCTGAGACTGCCTGCAGGACAGGTATTTGAGTTGAGACAGGGAACTACAGATGTAAATAAGTGGTTATGAACTATAAACTCTTTTCTGTTTCTTTTCTGAATTTCCACATACTTAGTCCTCACAGCAAAGGGTGAGGGGGTGGGGTAGTAAATTGGGCATCCTATTTCACAGATAAGGAAACTGAGGCTCTGAGAGGTTAAGTAACTTGTTCATTTACTATATAGAGGCAGGTGGGGGCAATGAAGCCAGGTGGGACCATAATCAGGTAACTGACTTGAGGGACAAGTCAAAACTGTGCCTGGAATGGGGACACGCAGTGCTCCAAATGTCCTTTTACTAATTAGCCACAAAAAACATGAATACATGAGTAAAAGGCCACAAGGACACTTGTGCACTGGTGAGCAACCACCCCAGACTGGTGAGGTTCATGTTTTGTTTTGTTTTTTAAGGATTTATTTATGCATGCATGCAAGAGATGGGGTACAGGGCCAGAGGTGCAGGGGTAAGAGATTCACCAGAGACAGAGTGGGGAGCAGACCAGGCAGATCTACTGAAATACACTGCTGAGGGGAGCAGCAGGTAAGACAAAAGAGGTCTGCTGCACCATGTGTGTAGCTCCCTGGCTGGGGATAGAACTCCCGCTGCAGTGGCTGTGAATAGCTGCACAGCGCTGAGACTGAACCCCTTGTGCCACCAGGGAGGCACCCCCTAAGCACTTTCATACAACACGATATCATATGGGTAATGAAACCTGGGAGGAAAGCAAAGCCATAGGTGACATATGACACAGCCACATGACATACATATGACCTGTCACATGACCCACATACAAGTCATATGGCCCATACATGACAACTACACGACATACGACACAGCCATAGAGGCTGGTGGCGGGAAGCAAAAGAGAGCCCGAGTTATTCCACAGTCCTTCCACACACACGTCCAGAGCCCGTGTTCTCACTGCCGTTTTTGTTCATTGCTAACTGCTCATGCACAGAGCAGCTTCAATTTCCTGAACAGGGCACTGCTGCTGGGTGTCTTTCTAATTCTATTACGTGATGTTTCCCTGAATCTGTGAGCCGCTTAGACAGAGCCAACCCATCTCTCTGTTGAGCTGCATGGAAAGATTTCCTGGATGAGCACCCGCTGTTCTCTGGGGAACTGCAGAGCAGCATGGAAGGAGCTCTCTTGTTCTTGTTTGAGGGGTGATTTCTGTGAGCAGAGATGGACATTCCCCATGTTTTCCTGTGGCTTCTCACTGACGCACATCACAGACCACTGACTGTGATGCACCCACTTAGCACCCACTTAGAAGGCCTGACAGTCCCTTTGGAAAATCTTAGGGTTTCCTCTCAGTAGGTCATGTGTAATAAGCTCGTGACTGATAAGAAACGATAGTTATGAACTTAGCAACACTCAGAAGTCGGACGAAGACCCTGAGAAGGCTTTCCTCACACCAGCCAGCCCTCCAGCCGGGCCTCCAATGGTCCAGAGTTAGTGGGTACCGTAAGTGAAAGGGCTAGGTGCTACAAAGCTGCGCCTGCAAGTGGGGGCTGTCAGATGCAAACAAGGTGCCCAGGACACCCACCTTTCTGCTCAGATTACTACAAATTCACAGCCTCCTTTACATTTGATAGAATAATTTGCTAGAATGACTCAGGACTGAGAAAAGTCCTTTACTTGATGTTACTGGTTCTTCATAAAGGAAATAACTGCATAGAACAAGGTGTGTGTGGGGGGCCACAGAGTTTCTAGTGTTCTCTGGCCACCCCTAGCACCCCCATACACTCACCATCCTGGAAGCTGTGGGAACCCCACCACTGAGGGCTTTTGACATAGGTGTGATCAATGATTCATCCTGAAAAGCCTTCTTCACAAAGCCAGTGTGGCTATAATTTCACCATGTAACATGTTCTATTTATTTATTTAATTTTTAAAAAAGATTCATTTATTTATACAAGCACTGGGGTACAGGTAAGAGGCGCGGGGGCCTGAGAGAATCCCCCAGAGACAGAGCAGGGAGAAGAACAAGCAGAAGGATCGAAATGCACTGCTGAGGGGAGACACTTAAGATCTACTTTTTTTCTTTCTATAAATTTTTTTTTGAGGTGACAATGGTTTATAACACTGTATGATTCATGTGGTAAATTAGGTTCACGAGAAGCTGGTTAAGGGAAACAGGTTCCCACATACTTAGATATATACGATGACACCCCACCCACCCCTGACCACCCACAGTCCTTCACCTTAGACCACCGGAGCCCAACCTGGCTTGTTCTGGCCCCCAGTACCCCCTCCAGTGTCCTTAGTTCTTTAGTCCTATTTCATTTTTTTTTTAAAGATTCATTTATTGATGCATACGAGAACTAGGGTACAAACCAGAGGTGGGGGCAGGGTGAGAGGCTTCACCAGAGACAGAGTGGGGAGCAGAACAGGCAGACTGACTGAAATACACTGCTGAGGGGAGCAGCGGGGAGACAGGAAAGTTCTGTTGTGCCGTGTGGGTAGCTCCCTGCCCTGGAATTGAACTTAGGGCATAGAGGTGATAGTGCTGAGACTTGACCCCTAGGCCACCAGGGAGGTCCTTTTAACGTTTTAAAAGGACAGGTTTATTCGGAAAAGGAGAAAGGAGTAAAGACACAGGTGGATGTGCAAAGGGAAAAGTTTGTGCAAAGTAACCCCTGCATAGATACGGGGGTGGGGATGGGGTGGGAATGCTCCTTAGCTCACTTCTGCCTCCTATGCAGGGGAGGTGAGGCCCTGTCCTGAACTTCCTCACCCGGCTGGGGTGCTGAGCAAGCTCTCCAAGCTGCCTGTACATCACGTGGTCTAATGTCACAGGTTACTGCTTGGCGTGATGCTCTGTGCACCCACATCTAAAGCACCGCTTCCTGACCGCCTGTTCTTGTGGGTTAGAGAGAGTTTTTTTAAAAAAAAAAAAACACCTGAGCTGTGACAGAACAAGTTTGACTTCTGTGTGAGAGGTCAGGACCCTGTCCTGGGAGTTGGGGGCAGGAGGGTCTCGCTGTCTGCAGAGCCCCACGGGGCATGTTTGATACTGAGTGTGCTTTGGTGGATGTGGACACCCTCCGGCCATGCTCCTCCTCCAGCGAGTCACAAAGCTTTGCTGACTGCAAGATGCATGAAGACAGTTAAATGTGACCAGTTCTCAAGGGCTATAGATTTGTTAGAGAAGAGAGGGCCTCCATGAAGATGCAAGGGGTTAAGTGTCAGCGTTATGAAGCTATCCACAGCCACTGCAGCACGAGTTCCATCCCCGGGCAGGGAGCTACCCACATGGTGCAGGAGACCTCTCCTGTCTCACCCGCTGCTCCCCAAAGCATTGTGTTTCAGTCAATCCACCTGTTCTGCTCCCCACTTTGTCTCTGATGAATGCTCTCATCCCCTGTACCTCTGGCCTGCACCCCAGCTCTTCTGTGCATAAATAAATGCATCCTTCAAAAAAATAAAGAAAAAGACAAAACCAGCAAGCTGACCACAGACTGAGGCATCCAGCTGGGGAGGGGGTGTGTGACTGTGGTGCGGGATCACGGGTCATAAGGTGGTGAAGCATGGTGAGCGGGGATAAGCAGCCTGAGGACCTCAGTAACAACCTTTTGCTCAGTTCTTGGTATGCAACTCAGTCCCTGATAGGATTCTCAGAGCATAGACCGCCATGAGGCAGGATGGACTTGTGAGAGGGGCCCCATGACTGCTGACCCTTTACTCACCCTTGGTATGAAACTATATGACTCACCTCTCAGGATGTAACCACGTCCTATCTGACCATGTACAGCTGCCCATGCAAACCCACCCACAACCTTGTAGAAACTGAAGGTGTATAGAAGCCCCACTGCTACAGACTGAGTCAGCACCGGTGCATTCAACCTGCTTCTTCTTAGCCCTGGTGTCCACGTGTCCTTTGTGCCATGTCACATTAGCTGAGTTGATGTCTCACACTTGACATTTGCCAGTACTTGTTGACATGCGTTCAAGTACATGAAACATTTGGGAGCAAACCTGACCCATATTCAGTTTAGCTGCTGTGGCTCAGTGTCCAGACAAGATGGCACCTCCCGGCCACAGGCCTCTAGGCCCTGCTAGTGCTACATCCCCACTGCCCT